TTTTACCTCTAAACTTTTTGGTGAAGGTAACATAGATTGGATCTTATAAGAAGATAATGATCCAAAGCATCGATCGAAAATCATGAAAAAATGAAAGGAAGAAAATGGCATTAAGGTACTTTCTTAGCTATCAATATCTTCAGACTAAAACCCTATAGAAAACGTTTAGAAGTTAATGAAATTAATATACAAAAAAAAAATTTGATCAATTAGAGGGTTAAAGGGAGAACTTACAAAAGAATAGAATCGATTATCACCTATACTTATCACAAATTTGATAGCTAACATAAAAAGGCGTACAGCTGCACTTATAGAGTTCAAATAGTGACTACACAATATATTAATTTTAGTTAGTTGATTATATATTTTTTAAATAAAAAAAAATTTTTGAATTTACTTACTTGTAACCAGAGTTAGAGGTGGTCAGATACTTATGACCGCTATTGTATAATAAATAAATGATATAAATAAGATAAAATAAATAGAAATAATGTATTAAATAGAAAATATAAATAGTATAAAAGATATAGAAGATATATAAAATATAAATAATTTTTTCGTAATCATTATTATCTTTTGGATTATTATTATCAATGTTTTCTTTTGTATAATAATATAAACATTTTTGAATAAAAATTAAAAAGTTTTTTTAACTAAATATATTCAAATAAATAATATAAATTAGGATTACGTAATAAGCATAATACATATTGAATTATAATTACACCTATTCCTATTTATTTTTACATATAATATGTGTATAATTACATAAGATTTTTACATATTTTTACATTTTATACTTATAAAAATATTTTGAATTTATATTATTAATTCAAACTCCTTTTATTTTATTATTTTGTTAAATTTTTAAATTATAAATTATTGTTATATAACTATTATTATATGATTATTATATATTAAGAAATTATTATATGATAATATTAAATTTTTTTATAAATTACTCTGATTCATTAGCAGATCAACAATTAATTTATAAAAAAAATTAAATAAAAGAGTAAAATTTTCATTGTATATATGCAATATATAATCTTCTAGGTAAAATTATATAATGCTAAACAAAATTCAAATATGTTATATTTAATATGAGATATAAAAAATAGATTTTCTTTTACAAAAAAATTTCTAAGTTAATGTATATAAAAAATAAAAAAAGGTAAAGGTGTGATATGAGTAATAAAAAGAAGGTAATGTATTACATTCATTCGATGTTAAATTATTTTTAAATAAAAATGTAAAAAAATAATTTTTTAATTAAAACTTTTAAATCAATAAATTTACTGAATCAAATTTATTTGTAATTCAATTAATTAAATAGTTTAATCTAAGTAATTATCAATTAGATAATAATATTAATAACTAATATTTGATATATTAAGTAATACTATTTTAAATTTTTTATTTTTTAATTGAAAAATATTTTTTAAAAAGATGAAATAATATAATAGTATTTATTAAAAATTTTAAATTTTAAAATTTATTTTAATATATAAAGTATAATAATAGTTTAATATTTTAGCTTTTATAGTATTTTTATTTATTTATATTATAAACTTAACCTATATCAGTTAGAATTATACTTATAAATATCAAAAATAATTGATTTACTTATGTAGATGCTATTATATTTAACTTTAAAGTTTTAATATAACTCTTAAGATTTATAAAGTAACTACAATTAATATTTTTATCTTAGAAGTATTATTAGTATTATAGACTATTTAAAAATAATACTTTAATTAGTTAAATAGATGATAAATAAGTATTACAGTATTATAATGCTATCTTTAAGACCACTGAAGTAGTTAATTTACCATATGTTACTTGCTTTAACTCAATTAGACCTTAAGGATTTTACTATTAAATTTGGATAGAAGTCTCATTTCAACTACAGCAACATATTATAAAACTGTTTTTACTAAATATAGCTTTTTATAATTTTAAAAATCATTAAATCTTTTATAAATATATTTATGTATTATTAATTAGATAATTAAAATTTTTTAGTTAAAAATAAATATAATGAAAAAAGAATTATATATATATATTTTTAGAATTTAGTATAATTTTAAAAATCATTAAATCTTTTATAAATATATTTATGTATTATTAATTAAATAATTAAAATTTTTTAGTTAAAAATAAATATAATGAAAAAAGAATTATATATATATTTTTAGAATTTAGTAAAGCATTTAACTTAAATATTAAGTTTATATGTCTGATTAGATAAATATTTAATACTATATAAAATAATTTATAATTTTTATCAAATAATATTTTGATTAAATATAAATTATAAAATTATAAATCTACAATTTAAATATTATTTTATTATTATTTTTAAATTATTAGTATAATTAATTCAATAAATTCTTTAAAAAATTATTAGTCTGAAGGACTATATAATGCGATGCAAGGTGATACAAGATCACTTATCAATCATTGAATGCCTTAGTATACCTCACAATAGTCTAGATAAAAGCAAATACTAGTGTGTTTTAAGATCGTTCTAGACTTAACGACGGTTACGTTTCCATCGAATTAAACTAAATTTTATTCATAAAATAATGTTATGATTATGCAATTTGTATCGATCATGTAACGTTAAAGTTAAATACAGAAACTTCTATTAAAAATATTTTAGCTAAATACTAATGAGGGAAAATCATAATACCATCTTTTATTTGTCGTACTGAATTAAATATAAATATATAAAGATTTTGGGATATTTTTCAATTTAAAAAAAAATTGAGTAAATAATTTTTTAATGAACAATTTTTACGTACGTAATTAAGAATACATATACCAATTTTTATGTAAACATATATTATCTCTTATTTTTAAAAATTTTTTTTCGTAATATGAAGTCTTCTATATGGATATTTATAATATTTATATATTTTGTAAATTTTACGAATTGTAAAACTATCATTATTAAAATTGGAAACGCGCCCTGTAGCTACTATATTTATTGATAGAAATACCGTAATAATATTATTATGATAGATTGTATAGTAATACTAGTGTAATATCGAAATAGGACGCGTCTTTTGGATAGCTTAAGTGGTGCAATTCTATTTTCATATATATAGTATATACTCTTTTTCAAAAATTTGAAATTTTTTTTTTTTTGAAATAGTGGATTGTTTTGTTTTCTCTTAATTCAGAAAAGTTTTTTTTACATACAGAATATATTATTAAAGGAGGTAAGTGAAGAAATGTTTTTATTTCACAAATCTTTTTTAGGAAACTTTGAAAAAAATTACTATGTTAAAGGTCTACTGATTCTAGAGGAGGAATTAATTATGTACCTCCCTTTGTAATAAATATAAAAATAGATTCTTGGGAGTACTCACACTCACGTTCATATTCATGCTCATATGCTTACGCTCACGCTCATATTCACGCTTATCATGATTATGTTTCTTATACTTTCACTTTTTTTATCCTATATTTAGACCTCAAGAAGTGAAAGATAACTCCTTATTGCCCTCTAAGAAATTTTGTGTTCGTAGGAGGTCAATTAACCGGCAAAAGCAGTCAAGAGATAAAAGATTTCATCTCAACCAAATTTTTAGTAAATGTATCTCACATCCTCAAAACACTAAATAATCCGTATGAACATGCACATTTTAAAACTGAGAATGATGCTGGGATTTTTTACCAACGTATTCAAAGGCAAGAATTTGCTTATTCTGATGGAACAAAGATTATTTTTTACCTTCCAAAATGACCGGAAGCAATGAATATACGGTATAAAAAATTGAGGTAACATAATTTGTTTTTATATCAATAATTCAACTAATTTATAGTAAATTGACTTTGTTTATTGCATTACTAGGATGAAGCTTCAACTTCACATCAAAATAATCTTGTTACCACTCTTATTACCCTTAATGTTAGTGGAATACTCTACACTACTATAAAAAGAATACTTTTAAAAAAAACGAAATTCTTTTCAGAGCCTTTTAAAGATTTTGATTATAATGGAAACATTTTTATTGACTGAAATGGCGAGTTATTTAAATATATTCTTAAATTTATGAGAACAGATGACTTGCCAAAAAGAACTCTACGCGACAATTTATTACTTGAAGAATTATTATTAGAAGCTAAATTTTATCATATCCAAGAACTGGCCATTCAAATCAATAGGATTATTCATAATGTTAGATATTAAAGTTATTACTGATATACAACTTAGGTACACAAATCGAAAAAAAATTTATCTACCTTGCTACTAAATTTTTTTTTTAGCACTTTTATTTATCTAATCATATAATAATAAATACTTGTTATCCATACATAAAGTTACATGTGAGTAAGCACATATGATTAGCAAATTAACCAAGTAATCTGTAACAGAAGTATCGATGGATTTTTTGTCTACATACAATTTTCTTTTTTTTCCTGAAGATTTTTTTGTGTAGGTTTATTACATGTCTAAAGAAGTTAAATAGCGTAAATTACAGAAAAGAATCTGTGTATAACTATTATACATCTTTAGCACGATATTTAAATGAAGAGTTAGTAATTAAACCTTGTAAAAATGTAATATATATTATTTGATATGTTGTTTATGTTCTTCAGTTTAATTATATTACAA